TTAAATATATTATTATTAGATTCAACATTATATTTGTATAATAGTCCGTTTTTTCCGCTGGCGTCCTCCTTCAGAAATGCTAATGTTTAGACTCATGGGGCTTTTCTGCGTAACAGACAAACAAAAAGCTACAACTTCCTTTTGCATCTCATTTGTCTCTAAACGTTTCCCATCATGCTAAAAATACAGAGGCAGGCAAATTCCTGCGGATCCTGAAGCCTCATGAACATTTCCTCATTCATTTAACACTGATGACGCTGCAGGAGCACAAACTCTGACCCCAAAGAAGAGCACGAACTACAGCCGTAATAATGAGGACGGAGCGTCACAGCCGCAGGAAGTGATGCGTGCAGACGCCTAACGACCGCGCACACGCAACACACACCATTAAACTCAACATTACCATCAGAAATGATACAGAATCCCAAACACACGCGTCCCAGAAGCCCTTCATCCTGCAGTGACGTGAAATACTGCTCAATGACCGATGACATTACCAGTGACTAACTAGCAAGACGGAAAACGGACAATATATAACACAGTTTAATCACATTAGATGAGAACATGAGATGAATTAAAATGAGCACTCGTCTAGAAATCAAGCTGCCTGTTAACTGATATAATGCCAATAGCGTACCGTTTCTGCCACAGAATAAAAAATGAAGTAAAAGGTTTTTATTTCGGAATTCTGACTTTTTTTTCTTCTCACAATTGCAAGTTGCAAAGTCAGAATTGTGTGAAATACAGTAGTCAACATTTGAAGTGGATCAAAAAAAGTTCGTCAAAGTTGTCCTAACACAAGAACGCATTTGGTTTTAGGTCGACTTTGATGAAATATTTTGATCCACTTCAAATGTTGACTAGTGTAGGCCTAAACTCGCAATTCTGAGAAAAAGTCAAAATTGCGAGATACGAACTCGACTTTCTTGCAATTTCGACTAACTGAGAAATAAAGTCAGAATTGCGAGATACGAACTCGACTTTCTTGTAATTACGAACTCGACTTTCTTGTAATTTCGAGTAACACTGAGAAATAAAGTCAGAATTGCGAGATACGAACTCGACTTTCTTGTAATTACGAACTCGACTTTCTTGTAATTTCGAGTAACACTGAGAAAT